TGGGGGCTGGGACTGGCTAGCTAAAGGCCCCCTTCTCAGGACCCAGGCTTGCCTCTTCTGCAATTAGAGGGAATTAACCTAACACTGTATTAGCGTTATGAAAAGTCAATTTGAAGTTATTTTATCTGAGCCTGTAGCCTTCAAGTGGGTTCCTAATTTCACTAGCAAGAAAATAGCAGCATTCGGTCTGCAGGAAGCAGCGGGCCTGGGTTGGGTCACCAGGTTACCTGGGGCGGGGAACTTAACTCCCCTGAGTCCGACTCACGGTTGGGCTCCTAGCACCTGCTCTGTGGGGTCAATGTGGGGGCCTGTCCTGCCAGGGACAGGAAGTTCACGTAGCACGTCAGTGAGTCACGCTCGGAAGCACGCGCTGAGCATTCACCACCGCGGGCAGCAGCGTGAGCCGAAGGACGGACACAGGGTGCCCTGGACCTGGAGACCTGGCTGTTCCTCACTCAGCTGTCACACCATTTACGGTGTCAACGGCCAGCTACTCGCTTGTTTTCCTTGGAGGGCTTTCTCCTCACCAGGTGTCACGCTAAGAATTTTGCATTTCTCATGACTTAATTCTTCCAGCAGCTCTATCCAGTGAGTACTATCCCCACTTTACAGAAAAGGGGAAACTGAGGCTGGAAGGGTGTTCACAGTTTGGAAGAGAGGCTCCAACATGAGCCGTCTGTCTCCAGACCCATTTCTGACTGCCCGTTCGTTGTGCTACAGAGGAAAAGCCACAAAACCTGGCTTTCCAGTCTTAAATAAACATGCTTGCCACTTTGCTGGCGGCTGTCTGTGCCGTCAGGCCTAATTTTGGAATCATTGTCACAGTGAGAATCTTCTGTTCCCACTCAAAAGAGCTCAAGATGTCCACACATGCCCCCGGCTGTGTGTGTGGCAGGGGTGAACCGCACAGGAGTGAACTGGTGCCTTGCTGGTGCCCCTTCTCCTGGACGCAGGCCAGGCTCACAGGAGGCCCCAAGCCCGGGTCCATGGGTTCCTGGTCCATCTCCACCCCATGGGGGCGCTCCTGCCCAGCCCAAGTTACACTTCACCTTCCAGCACCTTCCTGAAGCAAACAACCATGAAATCCCTCCTGTGTTTCCACTTCCCCTTGTTTTTATTTGCATACATAGCAACTTCGGGAGGGTTGTTTGTGAGCTCACCTGGTCCCCAGCCCAGGGCAGTCACTATAAAGCAAGGGAATCCTTGTTCAGATGCATTGACCATATGCCGGCCTGGACAGTGTGACAGGAGAGGCCAGCCCCAGGGCCTGCTAAAAGGAACGTTGTTTCCTGCCGTGGACAGGTGCCCAGGATCTGAAAGGCCTGCCTCCCATTTCTCTTTCCTTCAAGGGGCTGCATGTCTCGCTGAGCAGGAGGTAGGGCTGCCAGCTGGCTGCAGGCCCTTCTGCAAAGAATTCAGGGCAGTGTGAAGTCAAGAAAGATCATGGAGATAAACCTGCAGTTCGGTCAGGCTCGAGGGGTCAAGGACAGACTTCCAGGCTGCAGACTCACCTGCAGTGCTTCACCTGCCAGAGGAGGAGCAGGGCTTGGTCCTGGCGAGGCCCTTCCCTCCCCATCCAGCTCTGGCTGTGGCTCTCTCCTGGTGGGCACCAGCCCGGCGCCAGGCACTTGAGGATAGAAACTGCAGACAGGAGCCGGAGCCCTTTCCCCTGCCTCGGAAAGAAAGGCAGGCTGGGTGACTTTGCCACGAGGCGTTGTGTATAGTTACTGGTGAATTTATACCTCAACCATTGGCATTGTTGTTTTGTTTTGTCTTTGGTGGATCTGGAGTTTGAACTAAGGGCTTCACGCTCGAAAAGCAGGTGCTCTGCCCTTCGAACCACACCCCTAATCCATTTTACTCTGGTTGTTTTGGAGATGGGGTCTCGCAAACTATTTGCCAGGCTTGAACCTCAATCCTCCCTATCTCAGTCTCCCAAGTAGCTAGGATTACAGGTGTGAGCCAAAGGCACCTGGCATTGTCTTGTCATCATTCTTTTGGAAACCCTATTTATTGCCTACTCAGAATCCTAGGATCTGTGAGCTGGAAAGAACCACAAGGAATATTTGGCTAATAATTCTTAAAAAACATGTACATTGTGTGTGGGGGGAGTTGAATTCCAGAATAGTTCTATGGTGTGAAATCCCATTTTATCACATCAGACAACACTTTGCAAAAGTGCTTGTTCTGTGCTGTATCAGTTTGTCCTGCCAGCATGTCTCATTTTACAGACAGAGATGCTCAGAGAGGCTAAGCTACCTGCCCAAGCAAGTGTGGAGACAGATTCAAGTCCAGGTCTTTATATGCATGAAACGTCCGTGGGTTTTCCTGAGAGCTCCAGGAGGTCCCCGGACTGTCACAAGGAAGGCTGCACCTCACTGTGAGTCACTCTTATGGAATGACAGCGATTGGATGGTCAAACCAACGAATGGACGGAACCCATTCACTCCTCACCAAGCAGGGATCCAGCCTTCAAGGTTCTGTCCTGAACTGCAGGCAGGGGCCAGAAGCCCTTCCCCTCCTCTGTTTGAAAGACAGGCTGGGGTGACCCTGTCACAGATTGGTGTGTATATGGCTCATCCATTGACGTCATTGTTTTGCTGAAGACACCATGATGAGCAAGGCGGACATAGTCTCTGACCTGGGAAAGTGACCAGGTGGTCCTTAGCTCGAGCCTCATACATTGCACCTACCACATTGGATCCAAACAGGACGGTCCATGGCTTGAGTGGGATCTCCATCAACCCTGCCTTCCAGGCAGGTTCTTCCGCCCCAGACAAGAGGACACAGCCATGGGAGGGCACCATCGAGGTTAACTCATTGCCTGAGCACATTTCAGGTCGAAGCCGGCCCCCCTGTAGTAATTCACGCATTTGGTGTCACAAGGGCTCAGGGCTGGCCAGTGCTGCAAACCTCTCCCCACCAAGGATGCCAGGCACCGGCAGGAAGATAGCCACGCTGGCATCTTGTGGTTTGGTGATGTCCTCAGGTCAGTTTTCATACTATGAAGGGTGAATCCCAGTTCCCAGTGCTACACCTGAGGGACTGCCGGTGCCTATCCAACCTCTCCTAATACCTTAAACTACAGCACAAACCCGCAAAGGCCACTGGGCTCACACGCCATGACCCCGCAACGAGCAGCCACCCTCGGGTGTCTGTAGCCAAGAAAATCACAGCGAGTCCTGCAGTTGAAACCCAGCGGACACCTTCCTCATCTGGGTATGTTTAAAGAGGGCAGTGATCGCCTTATACAGTCGCAAGGTGTGAAACTGGACAAGACTGACAATGTTCTAGATGACAGCCTTGAGCTCAAAGAAGAGAGACGGCGAGGCTCGTGTCTGACCTGGTGCAGACTTAAACTGCATCTGACCCTTACTTCACAGTTCAGCACCTTCTGCTACAAGTACTTTTTTTTTTTTTTTTGGCAGTACAGGGGTTTGAACCCAGGGCCTTGCATTTACTAAGCAGGTGCTCTACCACTTGAGCCACGCCCCAGCCCTTTATTCTTGATTTATTGAATAGAATCTCACGTTTATGCCCTAGCCAGCCTGGACTATTATCCTCATGGTTACACTTCCCACATAGCTGGGATGACAGGTACCTGCTACCACACCCAGCTTCTTCTGTTGGTTGAAATAGGGTCTCAAAAACTTTGCCCACAGCTGGGCACCGGTGGCTCACACCTGTAATTCTAGCTACTCAGGAGGCAGTGATCAGGAGGATAATGGTTCAAAGCCAGCCCAGGCACATAGTCTGCAAGATCCTATCTCAAAAAAACCCATCACAAAAAAGGGTTGGAGGAGTGGCTCAAGGTGCAGGCCCTGAGTACAAATCCCAATACCACAAAAAAAAAAAAAAAAAAGATTGCCCAGGCTGGCCTCAAACAGTAATCCTCCTGATCACTGCCTCCTGAGTAGCTGGGATCACAGGTGTGAACCACCACACCCAGCCTTACACGTACCGTTCACAGACAGACGGACAAACTTCATTAGCTGATAGCAGTTAACATTCGGTGGCGTCCTGCACGCCTCAGGACACTTTTCCTGTGCTGCCACACAGGAAGCTGATGTGAACGAGGATAGGCGGAGTGTGCCCGTGCAGTGAGTGGAAGCCACTCTCAGCTCCACCGCGAGCGCCTGACTTGCTCGGCCACCCCAGGAGCGCAGGGCTCTCCTTCCCGCGAAAGCCGAGATGGCCAACAGTCACCACACTTGCCACAATCGTTGATGGAAATCCGTTAGTGACAGAGTGCAGAGATGATACACCATGAGCTGGACGACTTTGCCGAGCTCGTGTGGGCGGGTCCCAGTCCTACCTGTGCCTTCAGCCCTGGGTCTGCGGTTTTGAGCCCTGTGCCTCAATGATCCGTGCTCAAGTCTGGGCCTTGACCTAGCTGAGGCTCTTGGGGAGGCCGTATGGAGCAGCTGATGGAGAGCTGCTGCCTCCACAGTGGGCGTTCAGGATGACTTAGAAACAGGTACTCAGTAAACCTAGCTCAGTAGTGGGGCTGGATTAAGCAGGGGCTGCCTAGAAGCTAGATTAGCCTGTGCCTCTGAGAACGGGTTCGTATGGAGACCTTGCTCCTGACAGACAGTATTAAGTTATTTGGTGTAGGATTTAAGCTGCTTCTTTTTTGGTTCGGAAGACATCTTTTTTTCTTTTTTTAGTTAAAAAGAATCCCGGAGGCCCTCTTAGAAACACCTTCGCATGTTTCCATATTGCCCTGTGCAGGGAGTGAGGCCCTGACCACCACCTAGTGACAGTACTCAGAATCTGCCTCCATGCCAGCATTTCCTGTGAGCCTACTGGCCCTCGCTGGGCTCAGCGAGGCTCTGGGGACCTAGGTGACCAGAGCAGACAAGACCCCACCTTTTAGTTTGTCGTTTCAGCAGCGTGTCCATCCCTTGGGGGTGAAGGCGTGCAACCAAATGTAGCCAGCGCGGTGAGCAAGCCCACAGCCGAGGACTACGCAAATAACCGTCTCACCGCTCCTTCTCCAGGCATCAGCGGCGGGCCCCTGAAAAACCACTACCGCCTGAAGCAGTTCCACTTCCACTGGGGAGCCTCGGACGAGTCGGGCTCAGAGCACGCAGTGGACAACCATGTGTTCCCAGCAGAGGTTCGTAGTAGTAGTAGACGCCGTCTACACACTGTGGGCGCTCCCCAGGCCAGGCTCTTCCCCAGGGACCAGAACCCAGTGCCCAGGTGTGAAGGATTTCCTGGGGCTAGCACCGCCTGGCCCATTAATTACACCACTGTCCTTAGTAGGGGGTGCCATAGGCGCACTCAATTAACAGAAGAGACTGAGGTTCTGAGCAGTCCTTAACTTGATGGTGTCAGACATCTGGGATTCAAGAACTAAGCTAAAGGTCTCCAAGCCCTCAGCTCTGCGCTCACAGTGATTGTGGCCTCGCAGCCTCAGCCAGCCTCCATCTAGAATCTGAAAAGCAGCTCCTTCAAATCCTTCCTCCTCCTCCTTCTCCTCCTCCCTCTCCTCCTCCCTCTCTCCCTCCCTTCTCCCCCCCACCCTTCTGCTCTTCTTCCTTCTTTGGGCTGGGGATGGAGCCCAGGGCCTCATGAATGCTAGGCGAGTGCTCTACCACTGCTCCACACCCCAGCTAGGGCTCACAGAGAGAGAGCCCTGCTTTAACATGCAGTGGTGGGGTTGCAAGGAGAAAGCATGGCTGTCTGGAGTAGGCTCTGCGGGCGGCCGTGATCAGTGGAGCGGTGCCTATGGGCTGCCCAACATTTTATGATGGAATTTTCCAACACAGAGCTGTGCCATGAGAACCCACGAGGTCACCCACAGGGTGATCCTAGCAACTCGGGAGGCTGAGATCAGGAGGATCATGGTTCAAGGCCGGCCTTGTGAGACATTGACTCGAAAATAACTTACACAAAAAAGGGCTGGCGGAGTGGCTCAAGTGGTAGGGTGCCTGCCTAGCAAGCGTGAGGTTCTGAGTTCAAACCCCAGTACTGTCAACATAATAATAATAAGAATTACATAGAACCCACACACAACCTCCATATGTAAATGCACAAATGGTTGCCATGTCACAAAACTTATAGAATGACAAGGAATGTAGAATATTCTCCACTGCAGCTGGCCAAATCCCACGCATAGGAAGGGCCAAATGGACAGAGATGCCAAGCAGGGCCCAGGGACTTGACCCTTCCCCAGTCACCCTGACCCCCTGATCTGGCCAGTTCCATTTCCTACAGCAGGAAAACCGAAGGAGGAGTGTAAAATAGACACAGGCAAAGTTCAAAGCCGTGCCAGACTCAGGAAGGGACGCAGCACTGGGGACCCTCATTGAGCACGTGCTCATAGCCAAGAGTCCTGGTGTTACCTGGCAGTCACGTGCAGGGTGACTAGGAGGAGGCAGATCTCCAGCCCTGCCATGTTCACCCCCTTCACCCTCTCCTTCCCCAAACAGCCTGTTCTGCATTCCTGTCACTCACTTTTAAGGACTAGATTTCTCATACAAGAGAGAACACCCGATATTTGTCTCTCAGTCTGACTTATCTGTAGTTCCAGCCATTTTCCCCCAAATGGCATCATTTCATTCTTCTTTATGGCTGAATAATAGTCCATCATGTATGTACCACATTTTCTTTATCCCTTCATTGGTTGCTGGGCACCTAGGCTGATTCCATGATCGAAATAGTTTATTCACATGTGTGAAAGCAGAACAATGAAACCTGTTAAAATTGTTTTAAGAGGGGAGAGGAGGGACGAAGGGTACGTTATATGCATGTGTGGAAATATCACATGGAAACCTCTTTGTACAACAAATACATGCTTATAAAAATGGAAAAAAAGATGTTTAAAAAAAAAAATCAGATGTTAAAATGATGGAAACTTTGCCAGGCACCAGTGGCTCACACCTGTAATCCTAGCTACTTAGGAGGCTGAGATCAGGAGGATCTCTGTTTTGAGGCCAGCCCGGGCAAAGAGTTTACGAGACCCCCATCTCCAAAATGACCAGACCAAATTGGAGCAGAGGTGTGGCTCAAGCGGCAGAGCGCCTGCTCTGCGAGTGCGAAGTCCTGAGTTCAAATCCCAGTTCCACTAATACCAATACTAGGAACAATAAAATAATAGAAATGTTGACAATTCGTCCATTTAGAAAATAAATAGGTTGAGGGTATAATTCCCACTTCTGTTTCATGAACTCAGAGCATCCCCTCCGCTCCCTCCCGTCAGGAACACAGGCTCTTGCCACCTGCGGTTGGCCAAGCTTTGGGCCCTGAGGACATAGCTGGTGCCGGGCCCCTACACGCCACGGGCAACTGGGAATGACACGCAGGTGTGCTGGACAGGGGCAGGGCGACTGCTCTTTCTTGCCCCATCATGATACATTTAGATTCTCTTTCCACTGTGTTTCAGCTGCACATAGTTCACTGGAATTCTGTGAAATACCCAAATTTCAAGGAGGCTGTAGCGGGGGAGGACGGCCTGGCTGTGGTCGGCGTGTTTTTGAAGGTAATCGCTGGCTGGGCCTGGCTCTCCACCGCTGTGTGCAGTCGTGAGGAACGGCCTTCTGCACACGGCCCGTCCACGGAGAGGTTAGGGTGTCACCACACTAACACGTGGGTATCTGTGCTGTGCAGCTGGGGGCCCCGCACCAGGCCCTGCAGAAGTTGGTGGACGTCTTGCCGGAGATAAAGCATAAGGTGAGCTGCGCGCAAGAATCTGCACAGACCGACAAACCGAACCGGGTAGAGCCGTGGTCCACTCATAAGGAAAGGCAGCAGGTTAGCAGCAAGAGCTGTGGTGAGGGGGAGACTCCGCCGTGGGAACGGAGCTGGGGGAGGGCTGATTCCAGGGTGCTGGACTCAGGCTTCCCCACATCCAGCCACGCAGCAGCATTTTGAGGCGTTGTGGACACATCTGCCTGCTGCTGGAATTTGTGTTTACTTAATATTTTTCCTCAACCAGATTTGCTTTTGAAAACCTCAGCCTGGTCCCCCCAGGCAATGGCGTCCACGAGTGATGAAGTTTGTTTTCGAACGGATCGAAACGCAGGCCTGCTGGCATTTGAGAATGTTGACCAGTGCAGATGTTCCTGATCAAGGAGAGGGAAAGCTGGCCCAGTGGCCAGGCCGGGCTCCCCCTGCAGATCTCTGCCCGGCACTCTTTGAGCACCTGGGGATGACAAGGATGATGATGACAACGTCACTTTTGTCCAGGATCCGCCCAGGAGTGACTTTGATGGAGAAGTGGAAATTCCAGAGACGTGGGTTTATTTATTCAGAACCACACAAAAGAACTCTGAGGCAGAAGTCAGGGTGGCCTCAGACTGGACAGATCAGGCTTCCACCTGTCTTAACAATGGTGAGAGCCGCTCGGTGTGAAAGCTGCGCCCAGCCCTTCCTCGCCAGCTCACAGGAGCGTTTGATCTGCAGGATGCCTTCCCTTGATGTTGACTTCCCGCCGCCCCAGGGGACAGACACAGATCACCCCCACCGCTCTGCCCACCAGCTCAGGAACACCTCAAGGCCAAGATGCTGAGCGCCCCAAGGCCTCATCCTCTTCCTCACTGGTCCATGGCCAGAATAAACCTGGGACACGGGATGTTTGCCCAGCAAGCCTCCAGCTCCCACATGGTGGGTCCCGCTTCTTGGTGGGAGAGAAAAGAGCTATCTGTGAAGTGGTGATTACTTGGGGCGTCTTTTCCTTCCCTGGAAGGTTCTGGATCATGTCTGCCCCATGGGCCAACACAGAGCTGTCTGGGAAAACCAAGGGGAGATGCAGTGTGGGGAACAGCAGAGGTGCCGTCTGGGCCTCAGACCTGGGACATGAAAGGCCTAGCCGTGGAGGGCTTCTCAGACCAGGAAAGAGAGGAACTGGTCCAGTGGTTCCCAGTCTGCAAGCCTCAGACTTCTGAAAGTTTTCTCCCACAGCATGGCATATAAGAGAGCCCTCCATCAGGTGCCCCTGATCCACCAGTTCTGAGCTGTGTGGCTTTGGGCAAGTGACTCAGCTTTTCAGAGTCTCAGTTTCCAGGCTGTGAAATACAGATGTCATGGGACACACACAGCCCTAGTCCTTACTAAACTGCTTGGTTGGGTCCAGGCACGAGCCGTGGCGCGAATGAGGAATGGGGCTCAGGCGCAAGCATGTGTGCCGTTGCAGTGCACGTGACAAAATGCGAATTTTGCTAAGTTCAGAGTAGCTGTTTATCGCTGAGGAAGTTCTCACCGCGGACCCTGAGAGGGCTGCCACCCTGGGGGAGCCCATCAGATTTGAAGGTGATGGTCTGTGATGAGAGATACCGGACGAGTGGTTGACTCTAACCCCCTCACTGGGGACAATGCAGGGCAGAACGGGGCATTGGTGGGAGCAGGTTCCAGACAGTTGGCGTTGGCTTCCAGCCCCAGCTCTGCTGCCCCGCTCCATGGGACTTGGCAAGTCCCTCCCCAGGGATGGGCTCTCTGCACCTTCCAGCTCCTGCCCTGGCGCTGTGTGGTGAGGAACACCGCCCACACCAGAGCACCCCATTGCCTGTTACCACCATCCCTCCTTGGGCTGGATGGGCTGGCTGGGTTTGGGGGTCTCCCTGAACATTGGAGCTGGGGAACTGAATCAGCAGAGTCCCCAAGCATTGTCCCTCCTCCCCTGGGATCTCGCCAGCACTGCAGCCCTACATAGTGGTGGTCGGCGTTCCCAGGTTTGTTTCAAGAAACAGCCAGCAGACTCAGTATCCCTTTTGTGCCTTGGCTTCCAAGGTCATGTCACTTCTGACATGTTCCACCCACCACCCAAGTCACAGCCTCTGCCTGGTTCCAAGAGTTGGAGTCCTTGCCCCCGACCTTGCTGGGAGGGATGGCAAGGAAAGGGCACTGATTTTCCTGATAACCCTGTGGGGAATCCTTTGATTTGTCCCTGTCCTAGGCACAGGGAAACCAAAGCTCAGAGAGGTATAGAAACTTGCCCGGGGACACACAGCTAGTAGGTGAAGAGTTTTTAAACCCAGAGACCAGAAGCCTGAAGTTTGCACTCAACCGTGAGGCCACTGCACACACAGTGCCACCCCAGGACTTTCTATCAAGCGGCCCTCCAAGAGTCAGTCCACTGCTCTGCAGCAGCCATCAAGTGACCACTGAAGTGTTCCTGACCCTGGGGCTTGGCCTTTTCTCCCTGACTTCGCTCCTGAGTTGCAGGGAGCTTTACGAGCAGCCTGGCCTCCCTCAGCTGTGGTCAGTGCACCAGGAAGAACAACCGCTGAAGGACAGCTCACTGATTAGCGGACACCAGAGGACCCAGGCACCCATGCTGCTGTGATGGCCGGGTGGCTCATTACACAGGCCAGCACCACATTTCCTCCTCCCGGGCTGGCCAGGCATGATGGAGGCCCCATGCTCTGGGGCCCCAGGGAGAACAGCCATCCGTGGGCTCGCGGTGGCACTGAGCCCTACACACTTTGGGTGGGACATGGAGTTCCAGATGGTGGTCAGAACCTAGAAGTCCATGGATGTCGTGGATGTTCTCCTCCAGCCCCAAGAAGCTGGCTCTGCAACTCTGTGTCACCCTGGCTGTCCTGGAGTGGAGGCCCAGCCTCCATAGCATTTCTGGGCTCTGCCACCGTCTGACCTCGTGGCTTTGGTCAAGTCATTTGGGTCTGTCTTTTTTTGTTGTTGTTGTTTCTTCATCAACAAAGTAGAAATGTTTCCCAAAGGTCATAAAAACTTCAAGGCAATACTTCAGAAAGTGTCAGCGGGCACTTGGGGACTGGGGACCCTGGGCAGGGGGAGAGCTCCTATGTCCCTGCACCCCCCGCCTGCCGGCACCTCCCGCAGGTGGCCCTGAGTGCACACTGCTTCCCTCAGAAGCCACCATGCAGTGTGAGGCGCACACGTGGTGGGGAAGGGCTGGAAGCTGACGGATGACCCTGAGACGGTGCCGAGTGATAGGAGCCAGTCGCGAGAGGCCACGGGTTTGTGATTCTACTGCGGAACTGCCCACATCAGCAAATCCGGACTGCGAGAAGCGGGGCACTGCCTGTGGTGAGGGGGTGGGCCAGGCCCGGGCAGTGACTGACAAGGCTCGGGGCTCCTTCTGGGGCAATGAAGATGTGGAAACGTGGAAGCTCCAGAGCCCGCGGGATGTGCACTTTCGTTGGGGAAGCTGTGCAGTACGCGGATTGCTGTCTTGCTAGTGCCGTGACTGGCACACACCAAGTGACACACGGTTATCTGTCTGTGGGGATCCACTCTGTCCGCCCTCTGGTAACTCCATAACATCTCCTGGTTTCTGAGGCAAATGTCGCAGTTAGAGCCGGGCGCTGTGGTTCACACCTGTAATCCCAGCTACTCAGAAGGCAGAGATCAGGAGGATCGCAGTTCCAAGCCAGCCCGGGACAAACAGTTCAGGAGAACTTATCTCAAAAAAAAGGGCTGGTGGAGGTGTTGAAAGGTGTAGGCCCTGAGTTCAAACCTCAGTACCACACACACACACACAAAAGCCACAGTTAGGAGACAAGCCCTGCCTGTGTGGCCCCTTGATTTTACTTCCAGGTAAAGGTGGGTGGATGAGCAGGGAAGCTGTCTTCCTGGGGTCGCTAGAATGGCCCCGCTCGTGACCCACGCAGAGCCAGATGGCGCTCAGTCACGACTGGGCGCTAACGAAGGCTGCGAGGCCTAAGACTTGGGGCCCATCCAGTGGAGGACCGAGGGACCCGCTTCCTCTCTGAGCCCACCAGGATGTCTGGTGATCTTATTCAGCTATAATAAGGAAGGATGGACTGGTGGAGTGGCTCAAGTATGAGGCCCTAAGTTCAAACCCCAGTACCACCAAAAAAAAAAGGAAGGAAGGATGTGGGGACACATGGGACATGGGTGACCCCTGAGGTCACTGTGCTCAGTGAAATACAGCCAGATACAAAGACAAATGCTGTTAGATTTCCCTCACACGAGGCAAATTCGTGGAGTCAGAAAGCAGAGGGTGGCTTACAGGGGCCAGAGTTTCAGTTTGGAAGGTGGGAAAGTTCTGGAGGTGGTTTTGGCTCTCCAACAACACCACACTTCAGTACAGCACCTGCTTTGCAAGTGTAAAGCCCTGAGTTCAAACCCAGTCCCACCAGAAAGAAAGAAAAAAAAAAAGACTAAACAACTGTGCACTTAAAAAAAAGGCTAAAATGGTCAATTTGCATTCATGCATATTTTATCACAATAAGCAGTGAGCTGTTCTCCACCACCAAGGAAGACAAAAATGAGTAAGTTTAAAAGGCCAGGGTTCCATCCCTAGTCCTGCAAAAAAAGAAAGAGGGTCACATGTTCTTATTTCTGCTTCCAAATGTGACAATGGTGGCCGTATGGCCTTTATCTCCAAATGCACTTCCTTCTGTGTGAAGCAAAGGCCAGAGCCCCGAGATAAGATGGAGCCAGGCTCTGCACCTTCCTCGCGCCCTCGAGCCGAGCACTGACCGCCTGTGGTTCTCGCTCTCAGGACTCCCGGGCAGCTGTGGGCCCCTTCGACCCCTCCTGCCTGCTGCCCGCCTGCCAGGATTTCTGGACCTATGAGGGCTCCCTCACCACACCACCACTGGCCGAGTCGGTCACCTGGATCATCCAGCAGCGGTCCGTTGAGGTGTCCCCAAGTCAGGTGAGCGGGGCTGGGAGCGGCGACTCAGGCCTTAGCACGAGGGTCTCCCGCGTAGGCAGCCTCACCAAGACACTGTGAAAGGGCACGCAGATGTCATTCTTTGGTGCATTTTGGACATTCCTTCCTTAACTGAAAGGGTCTCCCAAGTGGCACAGGAGCCAGTGCAGTGGACTAGGGCCATGGTCACAGCTCTTCTGTGGATGTCGATACACCAGCGTGGGCTGGCCGGGGAGACCTCATCCCCTCGCACGTGCTCCCCCGTCCCCAGGGTTTAGGGTGCAGGCGTGGCAAGGGCTCTGAGGACACCTGGCTGAACGGCCAGCACTGGCTCTAGGCTATGTCAGGGCAAAGTGGCTGTGCAGATCAGAAGTGACATGGACCCTGGGGGTGAGTCACTGGCCACAGTGGAAGGTCAGTAGGTGTACACAGGTGAACACACTGACAGAAAGGCATGTTGCTGATGTATGGTTGGGGGACCCTTCTCCAAAGTGACTCATTCCAGTGGTTGTTGGCTGGGCCCCTCCATGGGGCTGCAGGATCAGACTCATGGTGCCTAGCTTCCCCCCGAGCAAGTGACCTAAAGACCAAGGCACAACGCGTTCCTTTTATGACTTACCCTGGAGAATCTCAAGGGTCCCTCAGAGCCACCCCGATTCATTGTGGCAGGGGACCAGGCCATTAAGGGCAGCTGGGAGCTGGACCACCCCGTCCCTGCGCCAAGGCTCTCGGCTGCTCTGTTCCAGCTGTCGGCGTTCCGCACGCTCCTGTTCTCTGCGCGTGGCGAGGAAGAAGAGGTGATGGTCAACAACTACCGCCCGCTTCAGCCCCTGCTGGACCGGAAGGTCCGCTCATCCTCCCAGGCCACCAGAGGCCCCAAAGTCACTGCCTGGACAGGTAGAACTGGCTCCTAGGTGACTCCTGAATAAAAAGACAGAACGAAATCACTGCCTGGTCGATGTACTTTTCGGTTGCAAGTAACAAAAGTCACTTTAGAGACACTTAGCATGATAGGGGAAGGAACTTGGGGACACAGGGCCGTCTCAGGGGACACAAGGCAAAGCGTCCTTAGGGACCACGCAAGCCACCTTAACCCAGGTACCATGCTCAGCCTCCCAGCTCGCTCTCCTGTCCTCAGCTTGTCCACTTCCAGGGCCTCCCCAGAGTTCCCGGCATCTGGGACTGACACTCTTTGCACCCGTTCCCACAGTTCCATGGCCTTGGTGACTTAGACTAGTAAAACCTGACTCTCACAGCTCAGGAGGTCAGAAGTCAGAAGTCTGCGTGTTGATCGGGGCTGGTTCCCTCCCGAGTCTCCAGGAGAATCGTTCTCTTGCCCTTTCCAGCACCTACTATCTGCCTGCACTCTGGCTTGTAGCGCCTTCCACCACCTTCCGAAGACATCGCTGTGACCTCACTTCCATCTGGTCTCATTTCTCTGATTCTGACCCCTCTGCCTCCCTGGACAAAGGACCCTTGCGATTACGTGGTGTCCGTCAGGTAGCCCAGGATCATCTCCCCATCCCCACATCCTTGAATGGTCCCCTTTGTGGAGTCCCTGTTGCCATGTAAGATCCCACATCCCCAGGGTCCAGGACCAGGATATAGGTATCTTTATATGGCTGGGGACCATTGTTCTGTTGGCCGCAGTCGCCAGCTGTGAGACCGAGGCAGGGGGTGGCCACGAGGTGAGAGGGGCAGGAGAAGTGGACTCCACATCTCTGCTGGGACTCCCTGTGTGTCTGGGACTCTGGCTCCAGACCCAGCCCTACTGCTCTGAGGAAAGGCAGGCAGCTAGGCCAGCTGTCAGGCCCTTAAACGCCTTGCTGGGGATGCCCTGCTGTCAGCCAGGGGGACGGGAAGTGTCCTCAGTGGGGTACACTGCCTCTCCCACCACACTGACCTTCAGGCCCTGACCAGGCCGTGATTTTTGTAATTTGGAGCTTTTCCATTCACTTCCCTGCAAAGCATCCCTCACCTCACACACGCCTGTGCTCAACCATCTTGTATTGTCCCACGGGATGAAGTCGCTGCTTCCTGATTTGCTGGGATTCTTTGTTCTCAGAGGTGCATGTGGCTGGCTCCCTTTGGTTTCTCCCAAAATGGCCCCTGTTGGAGAGAGCTTCTTGACCACCCCATCTAAACAGTACCCAAGCTTGGCTCCAGTCTTTTCCCCTGTGGTTTCTTCCCCTACCTTACTGCCCCACACAGTCTGCAGTTACCTGTTCGTGGTCTGCCTCCTAGGATGCTGGGCCCCAGGATGGTCTAGGTTGTGTCCCTAGAGTCTAGAACAGAGCCTGGCATAGAACAGGCCCTTGATATGACATGAAGGAAGCAGGGCATCTTCCCACTCCTGCGAGCTCTCTTTCCACTGAAGGGCTGGGCCTACCTGAAAGACAGAGCCTTGAAACAGAGGGAAACAGGGCATCTGGGCCACATCTTCCTGATGTCCCACCTGACCAGCCACAGGACCCTCTCACCTCCCCTGTCTAGGTTTCTTTTCTCCTAATACTTGCTCTGAAAAAAAAAAACAAAAAAATCCCAGTCCACATAGTATTTTTGCTTTAACAGCTTTAAAATGTCTTCCCTCCGGTAGAGACGCAGTTCTTCAAACAACCTAATTGTGTTATCTTGGAACATTTCCTTGTTGTCAGATAAACAATGAAAAACGGCACAGAAAAATAAGCAAATGCTAGCCCGTCTCCCAGGTACGGTGATAAACTGCACGTCCTTGGGGGAGATAAAGAACAACTGTGGCCACAAATAGCCCCCAAGATCAAAGAGAGCCGGGGTGCACGTGGTGCACTTTGGCAGGGTTCACACTTCTGTGCCATCACAAAGCCTTGGTCAAGAACGGTGTTAGCAGCCTGAAGCGGGGCAGTGTGTCCTGGCAGGACGCCACAGACACCTAGCTGCCTTCATTACTGGGGTTTGAACTCAGGGCTTCACACTTGCTAGGCTGGTGCTCTACCACTTGAGCCACTCCACCAGCCCATGTCCTTGGCTTCTTAACACACTTTTGTTTTTAAATGTAAAATCGCTGCAATGTTTCTTTATGGCTTTTTGTTATGTTTGTTGAAATATTTGTGTCTTAAACCATCAAGTGTTTGACTTCTCAAAAAGTTTATGCTATGAACGGGGCGTCGAAGCTCAGGCCTGTAAATCCTAGCTACCCCGAAGGTGGAGATCAGGAGGATTGCTTTCTGAGGCCAGTCAGGGCCAAAAAAGTTCACAAGACCCCCATCTCAACCAATAAAAGCTGGGCGTGGTGGTGTGGTGTGTGTGCCTGTCATCCCGGCTATGCGGGAATCGTAATTAGGAGGCATAAAGTGAGATCCTATTCGAAAAATAACTAAAGCAAAAAGGGCTGGAGGAGTGGCTCAAGTGGTAGCACGCCTGCCTAGCAAGTGTGAGGCTCTGAGCTCAAACCCCAGTGCCACACACGCAAAGAGGTATATGCTGTGAGAATAAAAGGTACAGTATCAAAAACGTAAACCTAGACGCGCTTAGTGACACAAAATAACAGAAACCCGAGGACACTGATGAAAATAGCACCTGTGTTCACATTGCTTCACACAGACTCCCATGGTGCCCAGCTCCCCTCCTCAACCCCCAGACTGTCCTGGGCTCAAGGCCATGTGCAAAGCTTTCATTTGCAGGTCAAGCATGGGTTTCATTCTGCAGAGGCCCACCCTAAGACTGAGGTGCAGGGCTGGCAGGCTGCATTTTATGATGTCATGGGTCCCACAATGACCCTTGCCCTAAAATGCGTCCCCTCTCCTTCATTGCCTGAGGACTCACATTGAGTCTTAGCAGTCTCGTCCTTATGCACACAGGAAATTCTAGACAGCTTGAAAAACTTTTACAGATCACACTTTCCAAACAGAAATCTTCCTGAAGCCCTTCGAGAGTTTCCCTCAGCTCAGAAATTAAGCCAAAACCACAACACAGCAGTGTGGCCTGGTTCCTGCCTCTCTCCAACCACTTCCTCCCACCTCCCCAGCCTCAGGTCTCCAGCCCAGCCCCAGCTGCCGCTCCCCTCCACGGGGTGAGCCCCACTCCCCGCACCCCTTTCTGTCCAGGGCCTTCGCTTTCATCCTCAGCCTGAGTCACCTCTCCCATTTCCTTCAGAGCACGTTCCTCTGCTTGCTCTTTTCCTTCCTCTGGTTGTTTGCTCAGTGTTAGGACTGCCTTCAGGAGCCCCGCGAGATAAGGGGGTGTTTCCTGAAGGTCCCTTGTGTCTCCTCAGTGCCCGTTATGGTGGTGGGCATACAGAAAGCATTTAATAATTTTTATTGAGTAAAAACAAGAAGGAGGGAGGGAGGGAGGGAGAGGGAGAGGAAGGGGGCAGGGAAGAGGCAGGAAGGCTCCTGACACACTTCTTCCCAGAAGAGCCAGTGCTTGTCCAGGTTCAGCAAGTGGTATGGACATCAGTACAGGAAGGTCACAGGGCCACTCCGTTTTCCGGGCACCGTAGGTTGTAAAGGAGATCCTGTTTGGGGGTCCTGCTGGCCGAGAGGCTGGGCCTGAAGATTCAAAATGGAAGTGGGAAAGCAAGGCCATGGGGAAGGCCAAGCCCACGCAGCTGCTGTGCTGTCCCCTCATGACTGGTTGGTTAGGAGATGCACTGATGGCAGGCATGCCAGCACCAGGGAGGGTCCACACCACTGGACACACTCCTGGGCCAGGCTTTAGGCTCAGTGTTCTCCATATTGAACAGTTTTCAGCCCCACTGCAGATCAGGTCGCCTGGGGAAGCCAGTCCTCACTCCGAAGCCCTCAGGGCTGGGATCTAAGGAAACTGTGTAGAACGCTCAGCAAGTGACTGGGTGGAGTAGCAAGGAGGAGAGCCACGCAGCCAGTCTACGAACATCCTGTGAAACCATCCTGATTTTGGGGTTTTCTTCGGTGTTGGTGTTTGAACGCAGGGCCTACACCTTGAGCCGCTCACCAGCCTTCTTTTGTGATGGTTTTTCTCGAGATAGGGTCTCGCGAACTATTTGCCCAGGCTGGCTTCAAACCTCAGTTCTCCCGATCTTAGCTTTCCAAGTAGCTAGGATTACAGACATGAGCCACCGGTGCCCCGCTCAAACTATCCTGGTTTTAATGGAGAAACTGAGGCTTGCGTGGGAGGCTGAGAAGCCTGTCAGTCACCCTCCTCGGCGTGGGGCTAGGCAGCACATTGATCTTACCTCTAAAAAATGCAGTGACAAAGCGAAGAGAATCTTGAACCAGGCTGGGCACGGGGCTCCAGTGCTAGAGCACTTGCCTAGCAAGCTTGAGGCTCTGAGTTCAGCCCCCAGGACCACTAACTAAACAAGCAAATAAATAAAAGTTTAAAAAGTCCTGAATTTTTAAAGTACTGGAATTTGAACTCAGGGCATTGCTCTTACTGGGCAGGTGCTCTACAGTTTGAGCCATGCTTCCAGTCCTTTCTGCATTGGTTGTTTTTGAGCTAGAATCTCGCTTTATACCCAGGTTGGTCTGGACCGTGATCTCCCTATTTACATTTCCCGCACAGCTGAGATGACAGGCACACACCACCACACTCAGGTCCGCCCTCCACCCGCCCTTGGGAGGGGACGGTTCTGGGGTTCGAACTCGGTGCATTGCGCTTGCTAGGCAGGCGCTCTACCACCTGAGCTGTTCCACCAGCCTATTCCCTAATCTTCATTGGTTGAGATGAGGTCTTGAGAACTTTTTGCCTGGGTTGTCCTTGAACCACAATCCTCCAGATCTCTGCCCTTCAAGAAGCTAGAATTACAGGCGTGAGCCAGCGCCCGCTCGGTCCTGTACTTTAATTCTTGAGAGAGAGCGTCTTATCAGGGACACCTCTTCCAAGGACAGCACCTGCTTGGCCATGGGTTTTATACATCACAGGCTGTCCTGCGCTGTGGAAGGAGCCAGGGTTGGGGACCAGGCCTCAGGAT